TCATCCCAAACTACAAGTGTGATTTCAAGGACAACGTGGTCACTGTTCTTGCAGGATCTAATGCTTTCATTGGCCAGTTCATGTCAAACATTCTGAGTGTTTACAAGATTCCACAGGTAAGATGTACTCCTAAAAGAAAGAAAGATGCACAGAAAAAGATCTGTGATTTGTACAGAGACAGCATTAAATGAAATGTGAACAGAAAGCAATGCAAAATGCCCTGAAACATTTTCAGGTTTGAATAAACAAACCCTGCCAATCGATTAACAAAGGAATAATTAGGATTAGAACATATATTGTGTAGAATACATTTCTTAAAAATCTGACCAGTTCTGAGATTAGCAGTGATCGATAGGAGTTAATTCACAACCTGTGCACTAACCTTCCTAGTTCAAATTCTATACGAATTTAGGAAAAGAATCTCCTTTTAATATGCTTTTCAGAGTATGAAGAGAAATCAGAACACTCTCTTTGTATTTTGGACAGTTATCACATCATAGCAATTGATTCTGAACAAGACTTTCATCTTAGAAACCAATATTTCATTTTAGACTTAACATTTTCCTCTTCCTAAATTATCTCTCATTTCTTGAAATTCATCTCATCTATATGCTACTTGTGTTTTGAATAACTTCTGATCTTTGATTGTCAAACATATTTGATTTATGTGCAATTTTCTCAGCTCACATATGGCTCAGCTCCAGTGATAGATGACAGCACACAGGTTGTTTTCTTGCACTGGGCATTTCCAAATGAAGATCTTCAAGTCAAGGGAATTATCCAGTTATTGCTACATTTCCAGTGGATATGGATTGGGCTGATTGTCCAAAGTGCTGAGAAACGAGACAGATTTCTACAGAATAGACTTGCCACATTTTCTCAGAAAGGTCTTTGCTTTGACTTTGTGGAAGAGTTACCAAAGGTATCTGTTTCCAATGAAATTGTTGATATGTTTACAGGCTATATAAAAGTTTACAATGAGTTGTAACAATGAGAAGCAGTGCCAATGTTGTGATAATCTATTGTGAAAACCAAGAAACAGCTGTATTGAGAAAGTTGCCATATCTTTCAGAATTTGAGGACACAGCAGTGAAGAGAAAAGACAAAATTTGGATAATTCCAGCTCAGATGGAGTTCTCATCACTCCCCTTTCAAAGATATCGAGCTATGGATTTCATGCATGGTTCTCTTTCTTTTCAAGTTTCCTCAAAGGACATCTTCGGCTTCAAGAGATTTCTCCAGATGAGAAAACTTACTTCAGGAGATGAAGACAGTTTGATCAGAGCATTTTGGGAAAGTGCATTTGAATGTTCTTTCTCCAATGCCATGTTAGAGGAGGATGCTGAGAATGGGTGCACCGGTGAGGAGCAACTGGAGACCCTTCCTAAGTCTGCCTTTGAGACCGTTATGACTGGTCAGAGCTATAGTGTCTACAATGCAGTCCATGCTGTGGCACATGCTTTGCAGGCCATGCTTTCATCCAAAAACAAACTCAAGGCGAGAGGAAAAGACTCAGAACATAAAACATTGAATCAATATGTGTGGCAGGTAAGAGTGGGATGAATGTCCTTTCCACATTAAGCAGGAGTCACTAATATAACCAGCTAGAACCTTCTGCTACTATCTTGGCATGTGTCTTAAGCATGATCCCACTGATATGGGAGATATGGAAGAATGGGTCATTTTTATCCTTACATTTGAAGGAAGTATAGGAAGAAGAAAAAAATAAGAGAAGGAGCAAGAACACACTCCAGAAGGAAATGCTTAGCATGGGTAAGTAGAAAGGAGTCAGATGAAGAACCTGAAACAGGAGGATGAGAAAGAGTCAGCATTATTATGACTTACAGATGAAGCAGTAGGAAAAGAAGAGAGTGAAGGGGCAGCTGGAAGTTAAGAGGAATCTAATGCCTGCGTGAATGTGGGAGGGAAGGCTTACATGTAGAAGAAGAAGAGCAGGAGTGCAAAGGGCAGTGGGAAGGAAGAATGACAAGGAGATTGAAGCTTGACCACAACAAGAGTAGAAATAATTGTCTTTCTTATGTTTAGAAAGTTATGGTTAATAGTTGAATAGATTGCTCTCTGCAGGAAGAATGTAATAATTTGAAATTATGTTTAAACCCAGTAAATATACTTGTTTTATTTGGTTTTTCCGCAAACATTCAGTCTGATTCTGACTTTGAGAATTCCCTTTACTCCCATGACATTTTTCCCCACCCACTTTCTGGCTTTAAACTGAGGAAGGTATATTCAATCTGGATTCCAGAATGAATCTCCAATTGATAGTGATCTGACTGTACTAGTTGGTTTGATTTGGAGGCAACCTGTTAATCTCTCAAACAATTTCTCCTCCCTCCCGCAAGGGTATTTAATGCAATTAGCAACAAAAGGAAAATTCCTTCCTTCCTTCCTTCCTTCCTTCCTTCCTTCCTTCCTTCCTTCCTTCC